TTATGCCTCTGATTAACATCATGAAATAAACTTTATCAATTTACGTATTTTCTGAGACCCATGAACAGACGATAGAATAATAAGACATATGGGGAATCAAGAACATAGGCATCTCTAGTATTTCTATGAACAGAGTGAGTTATGAGAGTTGTGCATTTTCTCGTTTCGTTCGTGTTGTATAGATCATGCCAAAAAGAAAGAAGGGATAGCCTTAACATACCTGTATGATCTCTTCCTTATTACTCAACCAAGCTCAACACAACTTCTTGCATCTACAACAAGTGAAATGATATTGCCGTTAGCATATAATGTCGTACCATCGTATCTGGCTAGTCGCATGACTTAAGGAAAATCGGGCAGCAACTCCCCTATTATTAATACACCCCAAAGACCACTAAGGGTCATCAACAACCCAAAAACAACAACTATAACCAACACCAACACCAACAACAATATAATCCAATATGAGTTTATCCGATTATCTTAACAATAATATTGAGCGGCAAGCTTGTTTCTTTTACTCATAACAAGATATAAATTGAATCCAAATCTTATTCCATAAATTAGTTTATAAACTTCAGAGCATCATACTTATATGTATGATGGATATAAATTATTCATATATTTTAATGTAAAAATATAAGATTTTAGATATAAAACATGACCAATTTATATCCTATTCTCGCACTTTTCTAACAATTCGTGCAGAAAAAAGAATACATGGAAAAAGAGAAAAAGAAAGATCTACGGTTCAAGGAAAAAGGATGCATCCGTGACAACTTCATCTAAGACTTTATAAAATCAAGAGATACAAAAGTTATGGCATATTCTCACCAAAATTTCATGACAAATTCCCATGTCAATTTCTCATCAAGGCCATATGATATATTAATATTATATTGCAATTTCTCACCGCCTTGTAGGAATTTTCCTATAAATAGCCATATGTTTGTAGATGAAAAAGCACCCCTCTTTGTATCCAATTTTCTATCTAGTTTTTTTCTAAGTTTCTAAAGAGAAAGAGAAGAGTAATCTTAGTCTCTTCCTCTAGTCTTTCTCTTTGTAGTAAAAATATTCTTAGTCTTTTAAAAGTATTTTTTAGCTTTTCTTACTTCACAATGGGGTAATTTCTTTTTGTTGGGATAGTTGATGAAGCTTGATATAATTATAATACTATCTCAGTTTCAATACATTCTTGGCCTGAAACTCTATATACATTTCATATTGTGATGGAATGATGATTTTTTAATCATTATTATCACATCTACATATTTTATATCTAAGTTATTATTATATTAATTTTGTAATTCTCACGGAGCAAAATTAATATATAATAATTGATGAATATAACTATAGAGTGAAAGTAATGTTTAATAAGATTATTATTTCAAGTCTATAATCTTGCTTTCCTCAGTTTTAATTCTCACGGAGGAATTGTTGAAGGCAAGATTATTGATTTTCTAGTAAAAATATTCTCACGAAGTTTTTACTACACTTGAGCACAAAATATTAGAGTTAAAATAATTTTTAGTAAGATTATTGTTTCAAGCCTGTAATCTTGCTTTCCTCAGTTTTAATTCTCACGGAGAAATTGTTGAAGGCAAGATTATTGATTTTCTAGTAAAAATATTCTCACGAAGTTTTTACTACGCTTGAGCACAATTCAGGCAAGATATTTCAGTTTAATCGTCACTAGTTTTAAATCAAATAATTGACATAACCTCACGGAGTGTTAATTATTTATTTANTTAAGGCGACTTTCCGCTTCTGCGGTCCAACTTCGCATCTGCGGGACCGCTTAAGCGACCCAACGTCCCGCTTCTGCGGAACCTGACTTGGGCTCCTATTTCCGCTCCTGCGAGGCCTAGCTCGCTTCTGCGAGACCGCATCTGCGATCTCCTTTCCGCAGATGCAGAAACACCTGCTGCAATCAAAAACCTGCAATTTTCCAACTTCAAATTTCTTCCGTTAGCCACCCTAAATCACCCCCGAGGCCCCCGGGACCTCAACCAAAGTTACCAACACATCTTAAAACATTATTCAAACTTGTTCCAATCCTCAAAACACGTCTAACAACGCTAAAACCATTAAATCACATCGAATTCAAGCCTAAGTTTCTTCAAAACTTCCGCAATACGCATTCGATCAAAACTCGACCCAAAACATATTCGAATGACCTGAAATTTTGCACACACATCCAAAATCACCTAACGGAGCTACAGAAACTCTCGGAATTTCATTCCGACCCTCGGATCAAAATCTCACCTACCAACCGGAATTTGCCAAAATACTAACTTCGCCAATTCAAGCCTAATTCTACACCGAACCTCCAAAACCAATTCCGATCACGCTCTAAGTCACAAATCATCCCCCGAAGCTAACCGGATCTCCGGAGATCACATCCGAGCCCTCTAACCAACTAGTCAACTTCCGGTTGACTTTTCCAAAACAAGCTTTCCTTAGAGAGACTAAATGTCTCATCTCCTACCAAGACCAAACCAATCCAACTCGATTACCCCAAATACCGATAATGAAGCATAGAGAAACATAATATGGGAAAAACGGGGCGGTAACTCACGTGACGACGGGCCGGGTCGTCACATTGACAGAGTACGAGCAGAAAATCCTATACACATAAGCTTCGTCAAATTTTTGGCGCCGTTGCCGGGGATTGGCACACATCTACTTCAGATTAAATATTTTATTACTAATTTGAGAATTTATTATTATTGTTAATTTTTTCTTCAAAATGTTATCTCCTACATACTACTATCATAATTGTTACTGTTATTAGGAGCAATTCTATATAATATTGTAAAAAAACATATAAAAAAAAAGAAATCCCTCATAGTTAGTACTTCAACCCACTCTATTTTATATTTTATTATTATATTATTATTGTTAGTACTAACATCTATATAATAGTATAATATATTAGTTTTGTGATTCACAATCTCATTTTTTTTATTTGTCATTTTTTAAGTATATTTTATTATTTTTATTATTATTATAATTGTAAGTACTTGTTTTTACTATTCTAGTTCTAAAAGTATCCTTTGTACTATTCTATATTACTATTATAACTATTACTTTTACTATATTTTTATAAGATAATATTTTATTCAAATTTTTTTTATTGATAGTACTTTAATCTTTCAACATACTTGATTTATTATTGATTTTTTTCTATATAATATAATTAGTATTATATTATTTCTTTTGATGGTTAGTTACAACTTACTGTTTTAGTTAACTATAATATTACCGTACTAATTTTTTTTAATTCATTTTTAAAACTATCTATTACTATTTTAGGGACTGTCTTTACTTTACTTTAATTTCATATAGTTTATGACCCGCTCTTCTACAAAAGAGTTGGCCAATTACGATCCTGAAATTGAAAAAACTTTGCGATTATGCAGGAAAGGACAAATATCGTCTCAAAACATAACTTGTAACAGAATGGAGCACCAATTAGAAGATGATAACAATGCACTGCAAATTCCACCACCAGCTCATGTAGAAGAGCAGTTTGATGAAGTGGCGCCAAGATCAACAAACAGAATCCTAAGGGATTATGCTAGACCTGATCGCTTTAACTGTGAATCTAGTGTCAGAAAACCTCCAGTAGCAGCCAATAACTTTGAAATCAGGACAGACCTGATTCAAACAATTCAACAATCTTGCATTTTCACTGGTGATCTAAGTGAAGATCCACATAGTCATTTAATTGACTTTTTAGAATTGGTTGAAACTGCAAAGTATAATGGAGTACCTCCTGAAGCAATTAAGTTAAGGCTATTTCCTTTTTCTTTAAAAGGAGAGGCCAAAACTTGGTTACGAAGTTTGCCGCAAGGGTCTATTACCACATGGGACCAAATGACTCAGAAATTTTTAAATAAATATTTTTCCCCTGCTAAAACAACAAACTTAAGACAGGATATATCTAACTTCTTGCAGACTGACACTCAGTCAGTTTGTCAAGCTTGGGAAAGATTGAAAACAATGTTAAGGAAATGTCCACATCATGACATTCCTGAACATATGCAGTTGTACATTTTTTATCATGGTTTGAAACCATCTTCTAGAAATGTAATAGATGCAGCTGCAGGAGGTTCCATAATGGGAAAAACCACAGAAGAAGCATTGCAATTGCTTAATGAAATTTCTGAAAATGCCATACAGTGGCCATCTGAGCGTGTAATCATTAAGAAAGCTGCTACAGTAAATCAGGTGGATGCTTTAAATACACTAACACAACAGATTGTTTCTTTGGCACAAAAATTTGAATCTTTTCAGGTAAATACACAACAACCATGCCAGTCTGAGGCTTGTGACTTCTGTGGAGGAAACCATCTAAACCACGAATGTCAAGCAACTAATCAAAATGATGAACAAGTCAATGTCATCGGATACAAGCAGTATCCTTTTGGAAGTCCATTAGCACAAAAACATCCAGGATTTCAATGGAGCAATGCAAATGGTGCTGAAAACTCTCAAAATTACCAAAAGCAACAGGTACAGAGTCCACCCGGATATCAAAATCAAAATCGTGGACAACAAAATTTCAGGCCTTATCAGCAAGCAACTCCATATCAGCAAAGGCCTCAACAAGGCCATCCAAGTCTTGATGACCTTTTGTACAAGTACATTAAGGTTACTGATGAAAAAATGAAAAGCCAAAATTAAGCTCTAAAAAATCTTGAAATTCAGTTAAGCCAATTGGCAACTCTTGTGTCTGAAAAGATTTAAGGTCCTTTACCGAGCAATACAGAGAAAAATCCAAAAGAACACCTTAAGGCCATCGCCTTATGGTCAGCTACGACTCTTGATGAACCCTATGCAAACAGACAAGAAAAGAAACAATCAGAACAACAGGTAGACAAGGGAGAAAATGTTGAGACACCCTCTCAGCCATCAGAAGAGAAAGAAGCCAAGAAAAAAGAAGAAAAAAATAATAAAAATTTGACTTCTCTGTTACAATTCTTTTCCCACAAAAGATGAAAAGAGAAAATCTTGATAATCAATTTGCAAAGTTTTTGGAGATTTTAAAACAAATTCACATTAACATTCCTTTTACTGATGCTTTATTGCAAATGCCTTCATATGCCAAATTTCTAAAAGAAATTTTATCAAGCAAAAGAAAATTGGAAGAAGTTTCTGTGGTAATGCTTACTGAAAAATGCAGTGCTATACTTACAAATAAGCTACCACAAAAACTCGGTGACCCAGGTAGTTTCACCATTCCATGTACTCTGGGAGGAGTAAACATTGAAAAAGCACTTTGTGATTCTGGAGCTTCAATAAATTTGATGCCATTTTCTAGTTTTAAAAAATTAGATCTTGGTGAAATGAAAGACACAGGTGTTTCACTTCAATTTGCTTATCAAAGTACTAAGAGACCAAAGGGAATAATTGAAAATGTGCTTGTAAAAGTAGATAAATTTATTTTTCCTGTAGATTTCATAGTACTTGAAATGAAGGAGTGTTCTGATGAACCAATTATTTTGGGTAGACCATTTCTTGCAATTGGCAGGGCAATCATAGATGTCCATCAAGGACAACTAATTTTAAGAGTTGACGAAGAAAGAGTTATTTTTGATATGCAAAAGATACTAAGATTCTCAGAAGATGATACATCATCTTCATGCTTTTCTATTGACATGATTAATAATCTTATAGATGAATTCAAAGATGATCAATTGATTTCTGACTCAATGGAAAGATGTTTGGTCAAATCTGGCACCACACAGGATGAAGATCCGACTATCCTAAATGATGCAAAATTATTGGAAAAAGATTATGAGGAAGGGGACATGCAATTAAAAGAAGTTCAACAAAAAATTGAACTCAAAACTCTCCCTTCTCATTTGAAATATGTCTATCTTGAGCATGGGTTATTTTCAGTAATTATTTCATCTTCTCTAACTACTGAACAGGAAGAAAGATTGATTGAAGTATTAAAAGCACACAAAGGAGCCTTGGGATGGACTGTAGAAGATATCAAAGGGATTAATCCAGCAATTTGTACGCACAGAATACTCATGGAGGATAGCTACAAACCAATAGTCCAACCCCAAAGAAGATTAAACCCAGCAATGTAGGAAGTGGTAAAAAAAGAGATTGTAAAGCTTTTGGCGGCAGGTATTATTTACCCTATTTCAGACAGCCCTTGGCTAAGTCCTGTTCAGGTAGTACCAAAAAAAGGAGGTATGACAGTGATAAAAAATAAAAATAATGAACTAATACCTACCAGGACTGTCACAGGATGGAGAATCTGTATAGATTATAGACGTCTTAATGATGCCACTAGAAAAGATAACTTTCCTTTGCCATTTATTGATCAAATGTTAGAAAGAATTGCAGGATATGGGTTTTATTATTTTCTTGATGTCTATTCAGGGTATAACCAAATACCAATCGCACCAGAAGATCAAGATAAGACAACTTTCACATGTCCTCATGGAACATATGCATATAGGAGAATGCCATTTGGTTTGTGCAACGCCCCTGCTACATTTCACCGTTGCATGTCAGCAATTTTTTTCTGACATGACTGAGAAGTTTCTTGAAATTTTCATGGATGATTTTACACTCTTCGGCAAGGATTTTGAGGATTGTCTTCACCACTTAACCTTAGTTCTTAAGAGATGTGAAGAGACAAACTTAATTCTTAATTGGGAAAAATGTCATTTTATGGTAACTGAGGGAATTGTTTTAGGACATAAAATCACCGCTAAAGGGATAGAAGTTGATAAGGCTAAAATTAATCTTATAGCAGGATTACCCCCTCCCACAACTGTTACAGGCATTAGAAGCTTTCTAGGTCATGCAGGTTTTTACAGACGGTTCATAAAAGATTTTTCAATGATTTCAAAACCACTGACTAACCTTTTAATGAAAGATGTTAAGTTTGAATTTTCAGGTGATTGTATGAAAGCCTTTGACACCCTTAAAGAAAAATTATCAACTGCCCCTATAATTGTGTCCCCTAATTGGAACCAACCTTTTGAGGTCATGTGTGATGCTAGTGATACAGCAGTTGGAGCTATTTTAGGCCAGAGAAAAGATAAGATTTTTCGTCCAATTTACTATGCCAGCAGGACAATGAATGACTAAATTATGCCACGACTGAAAAAGAACTACTAGCAGTGGTATTTGCATTTGATAAGTTTCGTTCCTATCTGATAGGAACCAAGGTCATTGTTTTTACTGACCATGTGGCTCTAAAATACCTCTTAGCAAAAAAAGATGCGCGACCTAGATTGTTAAGATGGATTTTACTTCTCCAAGAATTTGAGCTCGAAATAAAAGATAAAAAGGGAACAGAGAATCAGGTAGCTGACCATTTGTCTAGATTAGAGAACCCCCCACTTGAGTTATGTGATATAAAAGAAGAGTTTCCTGATGAACATATTTTTTCTATCAACTCAGTTATGACTCAACCACCCTGGTTTGCAGATATTGCAAATTACTTGGTTGGAAAATGGACACCCCAAAATCTCACTTACCAACAGAGGAAAAAGTTGATATCTGATGCTAAATACTATTTGTGGGATGACCCTTACTTGTTTATAATTTGTGCGGATAATATTATCAGAAGATGTGTACCAGAAGAAGAAATGACCAAAATTTTGTATCATTGCCATGATGGAGCAGTTGGAGGACACTATGCAGCAAATCGAACTGCCTTTAAAGTTCTAGAGGTTGGATTTTTCTGGCCAACACTTTTTAAGGATGCTCGTGCCTACGTTGCACAGTGTGACAGGTGTTAAAGAACAGGCAATATCACTAAGAGAGATGAGATGCCATTGCAATCAATACAGATATGTGAAATATTTGATGTTTGGGGAATAGATTTCATGGGTCCTTTTCCTTCATCTCATTCTTTTGAATATATCCTTGTGGCTGTGGATTATGTTTCAAGATGGGTTGAAGCCATCCCAACAAGGAAAAATGATGCTCAAACTGTGTGCAATTTTCTTAAGAAAAATATTTTTTTCAGGTTTGGTACACCACGAGTTATCATTAGCGACCAAGGGTCTCATTTCATAAATAGACAATTTTCAGCATTTTTATCAAAATATGGTGTGACTCACAAAACAGGAACACCATATCATGCTCAGATACAAGGGCAAGTTGAGGTTTCTAACCACGAATTAAAAAGAATACTTGAAAAAACGGTCGGAATCTCCAAAAAAGGCTGGGCTTCAAAATTAGATGACATACCGTGGGCATATCGAACGGCTTTTAAAATGCCAATTGGTACGTCTCCATATCGATTAGTCTTTGGAAAAGCTTGTCATCTTCCAGTTGAATTAGAACACAAAGCTTTTTGAGCATTGAAAGCATTGAACTTTGATTTAACCCTTGCTGGTAAAAATAGATATTCTCAGGTGAATGAATTGGAAGAACTCAGATTAGAAGCCTATGAAAATGCCAAAATTTTTAAAGAAAAAACAAAAAAAAATGGCACGACAATTTAATCCGACAGAAAACTTTTCAAATTGGAGATCATGTACTTCTATACAGCAGTAGACTCGGGCTATTTCCAGGAAAATTAAAATCCAGGTGGACGGGTCCTTAAAATGTTGCAGATGTTACTCCATACGGAGCAATTGAAATTCAACAAACCAATGGAGGAGACAAATTTAAGGTAAATGGTCACATGTTAAAATTATATTTTGGAGGGCATTTTGAGCAACAACTATCTGTCACTTTGATAGATTGATTAAGTCTACAATTAATAAGTCGAGCTGGCAACGTTAAACTCAGAACTATGATTCCTTACCCGTAGCCATTGAGGGTGAGGCAATGGCGCCTCATAAGTCCAACATAGATTTAAATAGTTAAATGCTTAATCATTTGATCTGGTTAATATCCAGGTTATTGTACAACCAGAACATCTCATGAAGGCCTCTACAAAAACAGAGTCACCTATACAGGAGTAACTCCATGGTGATCGGTATGCCTAAGTAACTGGTTGGTTAACCAATTAATAATGTAATTCATATGTTGGCATAGGTAATTTTCTAGTTTATATACAAACTAGACTTGTTATTTATACGCAAAAGGTGTGTGGCTGCAGTTTCTTTCAAGCTTTCTTCTGCAGTTGTATATTTGAAAGCCAAAAAGATTTTTATCTATCTATCTATCTATCTATCTATATATCTATATATAATAGATTTTTTTTAATAATTATGCCTCTTGTAAAGTGTTAATTTATCAAAATAAAACTCTTATCATTCTATGTCAAATATATATTTTTTGTATTTACCACATAACTTTCTTGTTTTTAAGTTTATTTTTATGAAGGCAAGAACAAATATCTTCAATACTTGGCAAGATATTCTGAGATTGAGAACTATTATGATCAAAAAGCAAGTAGAACTTATAATCTATATGCTAGAACTTGCCCCGAATGTCTTTCGAGGCGAAATCCTAGACAACATTGATTTTTGAAATATGAATTTAGGCTTTCTTTGTTTATCTCAGCCTTTTCTAGATATTGCACAAAACTTTACTACAAAAAAATAAATCCCTAGCACCTATTTTGACGCTTGAAGACCTATTTTTTTCTTTTAATACCTAAAAATGCCCAAATTTAAATATTACATTGATGCTTATGATTTGAAAAGTCCTTTTTCAGAAAATAAAGTTTGGAGCTCATTTAGAAAAAGAATCAGAATTAAAGAAAAAAAAGAAAAAAAAGGAAAGGAGAGATTGATCTTATGTTCAAGCATTATAAGTAAAAAAAAAAATCAATAGCAAATATTTGGAAAGTCTGATCTTAGAAATATTCTTCTCCAAAACTGGAAAAAGGCAAGTCACTACAAATATAACCTTTGACCTACCAGCCTGAAGCCAACATTACAAGCCAGAAAAAGTCCTAAAAGATTTTACAAATTAGTGTTTAGTCTATATTAGTGGAGATAGACATAAAGGCCAAGCCTATGGACAAAAGATGAAGAATACTCAATGCAAATGATCATAAAGTTATCAATTTCAGAGAAGTCTCAAAAAGAAAGAAGGTACAATTTTTGTTGAATAAAAATAAAAGTAAAAACAAGGTAAAGATTTGATGAATATAGAAAATTTATAAAGTTTGAAAGCATGATAGATTTTATTTGATTAAATTTTCATTATACAAGATTCGCCATAATTTTTTAAAAAAAAACAAATATAGTAACATATCTTTTCAAAATTCTTTTCCTCGAGGACGAGCAAAAATTCAAGTGTGGGGGTATTTGATGGATATAAATTATTCATATATTTTAATATAAAAATATAATATTTTTGATATAAAACATGACCAATTTATATCCTATTCTCGCGCTTTTCTAACAATTCGTGTAGGAAAAAGAATACATGAAAAAAGAGAAAAAGAAAGATTTACGGTTCAAGGAAGAAGGATGCATCCGTGACAACTTCATCTAAGACTTTATAAAATCAAGAGATACAAAAGTTATGGCAAATTCTCACCAAAATTTCATGATAAATTGCCATGTCAATTTCTCATCAAGGCCATATGATATATTAATATTATATTGTAATTTCTCACCAAGGCCTTGTAGGAATTTTCCTATAAATAGCCATATGTTTGTAGATGAAAAAGCACCCCTCTTTGTATCCAATTTTCTATCTAGTTTTTATCTAAGTTTCTAAAGAGAAAGAGAAGAGTAATCTTAGTCTCTTCCTCTAGTCTTTCTCTTTGTAGTAAAAATATTCTTAGTCTTTTAAAAGTATTTTTTAGCTTTTCTTACTTCATAATGGAGTAATTTTTTTTTGTTGGGATAGTCGATGAAGCTTGATATAATTATAATACTATCTCAGTTTCAATACATTCTTGGCCTGAAACTCTATATACATTTCATATTGTGATGGAATGATGATTTTTTAATTATTATTATCACATCTACATATTTTATATCTAAGTTAATATTATATTAATTTTCTAATTCTCACGGAGCAAAATTAATATATGATAATTGATGAATAGAATATTAGACTGAAAGTAATGTTTAATAAGATTATTATTTTAAGTCTATAATTTTGCTTTCCTCAGTTTTAATTCTCACGGAGGAATTGTTGAAGGCAAGATTATTGATTTTCTAGTAAAAATATTCTCACGAAGTTTTACTACGCTTGAGCACAATTCAGGCAAGATATTTCAGTTTAATCATCACTAGTTTTAAATTAATTAATTGACATAACCTCACGGAGTGTTAATTATTTATTTATTTCTTAGTGTAAAAATATAATTGTATTAGCAATAAGCAATTATTCTTTAGAGAAATACGTATAAAACTGAGATTTTATTGTAATGATATATCAACTGAATTCAACGATTCCCAACTCTTTTTAAATATAAACTTTTCGGGAGAAATTTGTCTTAATTTATAATTCCAAACACACCTTTCATCAATTTGGTTCTCTCAAATAGTAGTCAAAATATTACAAGTCTATAGCTTAGATTGTCCAATCTCTGTGGGACGATATCATAAACTATACTAGAATTTGACAGAGTACGAGCAGCAAATCCTATACACACAAGCTTCGTCATCGTCAATGTACCATATTATTTCTAGTTTAAAACCTCCACAAAATGCCTTCCAAAACAGCCCCATACGTCTAGCACCTTAATTCTTATAGTCAATCACTTGTTTTTCATCTTTTCTTCTTCAATCAACTTAATTAACATCTAGGAAAGCTTAGCAACAGTTGCCAAAACATTATCAAATTATTTCTCACAATTTTCAGCCACCACAAACCATATTTGTAACCACAAAATAGTCCAACCAAAAAGACAACCGTATCCCATGTTCCTTCAAGTGCATCTTATGGTTTTTCACTCAAACAACACAACAAACACAAGATTAACCTTAGGCACAATCAAGAATATATTATACATATCTTGGACAGCAGCTACTACTCGAAACCCCATCCCAACTTAACTCACAATAGCCCTCAATCACACAAACAACATCATAGAAGTATTCTCTTGTAGTCTTTAACACCTTTGATGAGGATTTGAGTTGATTTCTCTTGAGTTTAGTTCTTGGAACCTTGACAAGTTCTTTGAGAGTTTGAGAGTGTTTTGCAGTAATTGATCTTTGGAT